GTGTCAATGATTTATACTACTATGTTAGCAATAAATCATTGAGACATCCCATTTGTATTTTCTGACAGAGTACTTAGATATGGCCAAATATAAGTGGTATGCTGGAGCTACTTATATACTGGGTTGGGATAGATGTGCAGTATACACATCTCTTTTCATTTTTTTTGAATTCATTTTTTAATAAAATAATTTTTTATTGGTGTTCAATTTACCAACATACAGAATAACACCCAGTGCTCATCCCGTCAAGTGTTCCCCTCAGTGCACACATCTCTTTTCAATTTAGTGCTTAATGGCAACACATTGGTAATATGACGGCAGTATTTACACTACAGAAATTGACAAACACTAAAACCAGAACTTTTTCCCTCCAGAGAGATAGTTTACCAGCAACTACTGGACCCAGCTATCTGCTATGAGAGATATCCCACTTTTATACTTATTTAGGGAGGAGAAAACAAACAAACATAAATATCTCTTCTTAGAATTGATAATGTAATATTAAAATAAGAATCTCACTGAAGATGTTTGAATTCTCTATAGCTCTAATCACTTTATAGAAAATAAAAATATTTAACTGAGTAGTAACCATATTTTCTCCATAGAACCTACTGTATACTATGACCACCAAATAATTTTTAACAGAGAAATCCACCCCAATCCTTTGAGCAGCACTGCTTAGTAGAATAAAAAAGACTAGGCCAAAGGAAATTGACAGGGTGAAAAATAGGCTGATGTCTGAAAACAGCCAATTCTAAGCCTAAATAGCTATCAATCCAGGAAGCCTAAATAGCTATCAATCCAGGAAGACACTCTGGAGTTATGCTTTCAGGAAAGTGAGTGACAACTTATTTTCATCTCCATAATCTTGCCAGGTACCCACAAATATGAGGTTCCTGAGCACAACTGGACCTAGAATATCTTATGAGGTCTATCTCTCAGTCATTCCCATCTAGAAAATCATAATGTCCATTTCTGGGTATTCATTTTTTTTCTATGGTGAGCACAGTGATTTCTGTCAAGAGATCATAGGCAATTTCTAGGCCTATTCCAGAATAAACTTTAAAATGTCAAGAGATCAAAGAATTAATATACTATCCAGGAGATTCACTAGACTGGGAAAGTTTTGATTTATCTACTACAATGCAGATTAAACAGAAAAATAGAAAATAAAACTTAGGTCAGTCTTTGGAAAAAGTCAGCTCAAGAAGAAAATATAGGCCACCATTGATGTCACTGGGTTTTTTTGTTTGTTTGTTTCCCCAGGAAGTTGCTTTGGCTTAAAGTTTCTGAGACAGCTATTCTTACACTCCTTGAAACTGATGATTTCCTCTGATTCAATGCCAGCAGTGAAATTCCTAGCCTTGGGGACTGGTGTAACTCCCACTGATACGAATTCAGCATAAAAATGTCCCCCTCAGAGGAAGAGAAGTTCTGGCCTTAGGTAAATCAATGGGTCACTTCCAGACTAAACATCACTAGAAGATTATATAGGTCCCTTAAGCATATGAAGGACCAAAAGCTGTCATGTTGGTGCCGGGACTGCAGGAAGCCAAAAGAAACACTACTATTGTGTCAGACTATAAATTAGTGTCTCCGGTAAAGAGGAAGAAGTAAGGCAGAAAGACCAGTTCCTAGTTCAGCAGAAAGAGAATAGAGTAAACCAGAGTTACAGCATACTTTCCTGCTTTCTCTGCTATAGAAGATCAGTGTTATAACACAAATATTTTGGTTTCTATTTATATCTTATTTACAAATCATCAGCATAAATCTATCTTTCTAAGATGTTTTCCTCTGTGGAATTAACTCTAAGTGGTCCTTGGATGGATGTCTTTGACTTATTTTTAAACAACCATTTCAAAGAATAGATAAGGCAATCTTATTAAGTATATTCAAATATAAGAGGAATAACACTTAAATTATAAGCCATTTCTATTTCCCTCCATGATCTCCTCCAAAATCTCTGGAAAAAAATTTTTTGTGTTCATTTACCTTATACACTTAACCAAACTTAATAACATTCAAAGCCCCAAGCAAAAAGTGTTCATTTACAAAGTCACTGAACAGAAAGCAATACAATGAAGTAGACAACCTGATGGATCTTCTGTTGGTCTGAATGTCTGGGTTCCATTTTCCATACACAAGAAACTGTTTGAGGACAAATTGCCTGAAACTGAAACTGTAGATTCATATTCATATCTGTATGAACACAGGGAAAACATGGTGATGTTAAGGAGCCAATGCAGACAACGTGAGCATTGTGCAGATTATTAACTCCTACTTCACTTAAGATCTAACTTCCAAATCCAGGAAAGGACATTTCTTTTCATCTTCACACCTAATCATCAAAAATTAGTATCATTAAAAAGAACTTGCCACTCACTGTCAGTGTACAATTCCTTAATAGCTAGTTTTCAATTATCTGTATGTGGATGATCTACCTTTTAAATCATCTGACATCAACCTTCAGTGGTTTTTAGGTGATCATTTCCTGGAAATAATTACTGTGGAATAAGGAACAAAACTCAAGAAAAATAATAGATTCAACAAAACATAATTAAAGGCTTTGGGGGGGAAAACAACACAAGTCTCCCACTTTCCAAGAATCCAAACAATAATTCCTTCACATGTTCATTAACTCCCTCAGAGAAACAAAACATGTACCCATTATAATGAAAGACCTTAGGAGAATATCAAACATTATGACAGCACAATGTAAAGACTTTTTTCTTTTCTCATGAAGACAAAAGTATTAATAAACTGTGACCATTTATCATAGGCAAATTACCACAAGCTCCACATGCCCTTTCTCAGAAAGAAAATTATATGCTGCAACAATGGATGAAAATATGTCCAACTGTCTTTGAGAAATTACATTGGGTTGGTTTCTATATTTTTATTATGCAAGAGAAAGCGAAAAGAAAACTTGCCCTTTTGAGTTTCAAATGAGCTAAAGAGTGTTATGCTTGGATATCACCAGTCCTGATTACTATGTTATAGGACATAATAAAAATGATTAAAATACATTCCCCCTTGAATAACTTCTCAGTCATATCCATAGAATTTGACTGTGAACCGTGGATAAAGGCTTCCGTCTCCACACCCATGATCCCATGAGATATGGAAGCTTCAGAAAAAAAAAAAAGAATAATACCTTTGGCAGAGTGTAGAAAGAAATGACAATAATAGCTGAATGTTCCTTGACATTGTTTTGAATAGGATAGAATAGGATAAGATAGGATAGGGAAAGAAAGGAGAAGAACAGTAGAAGTTCCTTGCCTTGAAACCTCTTATCCCTTCAGAAATATCTGAGAATTAAAATATCTTTTTCATTTAAATCACCTACTAAAAACCCAATAACTCAGTCCATGTCCATTGATTCCCCCAAACATCAGCAAGATGGTAGTAAATGGATTTTAAAATAAGAAAGGAAAAGGCATAATGCCATGTGGGTAAAGAAAAGGGAAGATTTGCCAAGAAGAGAGAGTTTAATAGGATTTTGAAAGTGAAAATCAGAGTGATCACTGAATTCATATATATAAAAAACACAATCCTGATTAAGTGCCTGTAGGGGAGCAACTAAACACATGCCATATATAGCTGAAAAACTTCAGGCAAGAAACAAGATACTTCTAAACTGAGAATATGCATGGTCCCAGAAGAGGACTTATTTAAAGCATATGTAAGGAGCAGTTAAGTCCTTATAGATATCCTCTGCCATTGCAATTGAATATGGCCTTTGGCTCAGGGAACTAAATAGACACCGAGGCATATTAAAAATTGCAGATATTATTAGGTTAAAAGAAATATACATGCCGAAAAGTGCAATTCCCACTCCCACATGCTGGTAGCCAAGTTTCCACCTTCCAGGAAACAGATTAGAGAATCCCTGCCTTATATAACTCAGTTTATGGGCAGTTCTGAATCACCTAAAAATAGCCAGTTCCTGTTCAATCACCCTACAAAGAAGTCCTCCATTTAATTAAGCCTGTGTATAACACATACAAAAAAATTCAAGTTAGCTTATTGTTGTTATTCCTCTCTCTTAAATATGAATAGGTAGCAAAAACCCACCAGATATATGGAGAAAGCCTGTAACAGTAAAGACAAAGACAAAAAACAAATGAAAACTGTGTACTCAGAGGAAAAAGAGACAATGAAGATAGATGAAGAAAATTTAGATAGAAAAAAGACATTGAATTTTTGAAAGATGAACAAAATGTTTCTTAAAAAGATATATTCAAAGAACAAAAGAGTTTTTGAAAATTAAAAATGTGATAGCAAAAGTAGGAAGTTCATTCAGAGCTCTGGAAGACAAAGATGTCTCCCAAAGAGTAACAAGAAGACAAGGATATAGAACATTGGAGGAAAAAGATGAGAAATATATAGTCTTAATCCAGGATGTACAGAATTCAATGAATAGAGATTCTAGAAAGAGAAAAAGGAGGGGTGTATCATCAAAGAAGTAATACATGTAACTTCTCCAAATGCCCATATTGCAGATACCTAGCACAAAGGAAGAAAGGGATTTATACCAAGACAGTTACAATGAATCCAGACTCAAGAGTTTAAAAGAAAATCCCAATAGCTCACAGAGAAAAGAAACTAGTCACAGGGATTAGAATGGCATAAGATTCTTTAAAGAACTTTTTTTTTTAATTTTTTATTTACTTATGATAGTCACAGAGAGAGAGAGAGAGAGAGAGAGGCAGAGGGAGAAGCAGGCTCCATGCACCGGGAGCCTGACATGGGATTCGATCCCGGGTCTCCAGGATCACGCCCTGGGCCAAAGGCAGGCGCCAAACCGCTGCGCCACCCAGGGATCCCAAGATTCTTAATAGTAACACTGGAAACTAGAAAACTTTGGAATGATGTCTTCAAAATCCATAGGAAAATATTCCCAACCCAGAATTTTATTTTATTATTAAATTTTAAATAAATTAATTTTATTTATTTATTATTTATTTTATTTTATTTGTTTATTTTCAGATATTCAAGGTCTTAAATTTTTTTACTTACCTTACACGCTTTTTCAGAAATCTATTAGATCATGTTTTCCACAAAAAGGAATGAGAGTAAAAAGGAAAGGAGAAGATATGATATCCAGGATAAAAGTTAACTGAATGGAGAAAAGAGGTAAATCTAATTCCCAAGGATAACAGTGAAGGAGAATGTCAAGGAAGGAGCCATGCACCAAGCCAAGGGAGATTCTAATTCAGAATGCAGACAGAGAATTGATGGTGACATAGAGGTATCTCTAAGACAAAAATGAAGCCTATGATATGTATGAGTATTTTGAGATGTTCCCCTACCAATGGAGAGTTTGGTGATGATTAGTGAGATATAAAAAGAAAATGAATCAAACAAAAAAGGAACAATTATTAAATCCAAGGAAAATAAAAATGATATAAGAAAGGAATAGCAGCATGGTTCAGTAGTAAAAGATACATAGTCATACACATGGAAATAGTGAATATAACTTTATAGCAGGAAATCAATATATATTATGTAACATTAACAACTAAAAGTATAAATATTTACTTAGAACTATCAAGGCAAAGAGAGGAAAGAACTGAAAGAGTTGCAAGTGGCTATTCGTGGAAAGCAGTAATATGGACAATGTTGAAGGGGCAGGGAACAACTCTTTTTTTTCCACTATAATTTTACTTTTACAAGTTGGTGCACATATTACTTTGGTAAAAATTAAAATAAAAATCAACCAGACTGGCCTTTTAGTGACCTCCATAAAAGTAAACAGAATGTCATTATAATTAGAAGTGTCTAAATAATACCCGGAAAAGAATAATCCCACATTTTGCCAGGTGCTAAAAATCTTTTCATCAGACTCCACTCCATAAAATCCTAAATATCTATTTCATAGATGGACAAAATGTGACTATGTAAGTGAAGTGAGGTGCCCAGAGCACACCGGACTGGTGGAACAGGATCTGCATCTTCTGGCTCCCATTGCAGTGCTCTATGCTTTTAGGAAGTATTGTTCCTAGAAAGGAGATTTCAAGTTTAATTTCATGCAGTCAAAAGTTGAACCTAAAAAGTCATCAGAAATGGAATACTTACCGACCCATGAGGAAATGAGGTAGAGATTGTAAGAAACACCCTAGGCCCATAACCACACATCCAACACCAATCAGTATAGGTCTATGTAATTTGGTTCCGAAATAACTCACAAATATAATCAACAAAAGATTTCCTAGGAAAAAATTAAGATGAAAAATGAATATTTCAATAAGAATGAATATCTTATCCTCATCCAATCATTTACTATTTAATATTTGTTGTATAAAAACTATTTCAAATACTACGACTGGTACTAGGGACACATGAAACAATAAATAAATAAGACAAAACTCCTGCCTTGAAGAAGAATTTTGTTTCACAATGTCAACAAATATGTAAACAGATCTCTGTGGAATACCAATATTTAAAGAGGGCAAAGAAGAGAAGTCAATAGAAGAGACTGGGGAATAGTTCTGAGAAATGTTAAAGACTCTGTGTATGATTATGTAGCCTTAGAAAAATGGGATGCCAAAGTAGGTGTTAGACTGTATGTCACCTCTGGCCTTTCCTTCCATGCCTGCTTCATGCTTGAAAAGGAAGCCAAAGTCAAATTCAGATAGATATATGTTGTACAACTTATGATTTAAATATAACTTTGTGTTGGTGAATATAAGCAAGCCAGAGATTTTTGCTTATTTTTACTTCTCTCCTTAGAAGTAAAAAATAGTAGGTCCCCACATTTCCAAATGGATCTTAGAAGGAAGACTTGCTTTGAGGGGTAAATAATTCAGTGAAATATTTATCCACATCTTAGGATGAAGTTTCAAGATGAAGAAATTGAGGAGGCCCCATTCCAACGGACAAGCCCTTGACAAGAATGGCATACAGGGCTGAAAAAGGATCATAGGGAAAGGGAGGGAAAACTGAATGAGAAGTCATCAGAGAGGGAGAAAAAACACGAGAGACTCTTTAACTGGGAAACAAACTGAGGAGGGTAATTGGGTGATGGGCATTAAGGAGGGCACCTGATATGATGAGCACTGGGTATTTTACGCAACTGATAAATTATTGGAAACTACATCTGAATCTAATGATGTATTATATTTTGGCTAATTGAATTTAAATTAACAAAAAGAAAGAACCAAATACATGAGGAAGTTCTTATATCATACATTTTAAATTCAGTAATCAGTATTTTCCCTAATCCTACTATGCGTAAGGAAAACTTCTATGATGAACTTGAGAACTATAAAAATTTTTTAAACTCTCTCTCAAGTTGTTAATAATTTTCTAAGTGGTGGTATATATTTTGAAGACTTTTCTTTCCTTATATGTTTCTCTCTAGTCTACCTTGTAAGTAGAAGAGAAGTCAGCACCTACATTGTTTCATATGGACAGTGCCCCACCAAGTACAACCACACTGGCCTCTCTAGGTTTCTAAAATCCCCATCACCAAAGCCATCCATGTTGAAGGTATTATCTCTAAAAAGCCACCGTTTCAAATCCACTTCCATTTTTGAAAGAAGAAAGGAAGAGACTTCTCTGCACATAAGGGTAAGCTTATCTTTCAAATTGCCTTTCTCCTTTAGTAAAACAATCACCATGAGAGGGAATAGGAAAGGATAGATAAGATTTTATTAAGGGTGTGAGGAACAGTCTATAAAAATTCCTGAGGAAAGGTAAGCAAACTAAAACATTGATTGGTATCTATAAATTACCTCTCCCCTTCCCTTCAGCGATTATTTCAGATTTTCATCATTCTCAAGCCACCTATTGCCACTCACTTTTGATAGTTTATACTTTGTCATGAAATTTAGGGCAGTCAAGTTTCCCACCTTATGGCCTTACCACCTTCCTTCAATTACAGAGGTAGTGGTGCCCATCTGACCATCCAATGTCTAACACCCCACCTGGGCACTTCCATTTTCTCCAGATACTTACTCTAATAATTAAAATATCCCTCATATATTTTAAGTCCCTCCCTCTCAGCTGCATTTTAATTACAGATATTCCCTAGTTTCTCTCCAAACTGACAATTACCTATAGTCATAGATTCCACTTCTTCCCTTCCCATTCTTTCCCAAAGTCACTGCTCTCTTTCTACCTTCTAGTTTCTCTATCTACTCTTTAGCTAAAAGTGCTCTGGACAAGATCATCAATTATTGCATTATAAAACCTGGGGAATAATTTTCTATCCTATTTTCTAACTGTATATACTAATGCTTTTGAGACTGCTGACAATTTTTTATTTTTGAAACTTCTACTCCTTGGTATCTATCATAACATTCTCTCCTGTTTCCCTCTTAATTCCTTAACACTTTTGTGGGCTCCTTTCTTCCACTTGTTCCTTAAGTATTGGTACACTTCAGGGATCCACCCTTTGTCCATTGGACTTATCACCCGGTACCCTTTCCCTAAATAACCTCTTCTGTTCTTTAATTTTAAGAACCACCTGTTTATTCACCAATCAGTAGCTCAAGCCCAGATGGTTCCTCCAATGCTTCCAGCTCATATAACTGCCACTCAGACATCATTACTCAAAGGTCTCACTGCTACCACCACAAATAATTTGCCTAAACAGAACATATCATCAACCCATAGCTGCTACCACAATCTTGTCCTCCTTCCTCTGTTCTCTGTCTCAGCACCACTATCCATTCCACTGCTGTAAACCTGGGGGCATCTACTTTTCTCATCCACCACAACTAATCTGCCATTAAGTTCTCAGAAGATTAACTCCTAAATATTTTGTAGGTCACTCTCTTCTCTGTATTTCTACCAGTATAATCTTGACTTAGACCCACATAACTCTCTCTTGTGCTTTTGTGTTGGCCTGCTAGGATCCTCTCTGGTTGGCTGGCCACCTTCAAATGTGTCTCCAACATAGCCACAAGCATGGCCCTACTTAAAAATAACTCTATCATTTTAAATAGGCGATCTTAACCTGCAGTATATAAATAAACCTTCAAGGATCCATGGATAGAAATCAAGAGTTCCATGAACTTAAATGAGAAAAGAAATTTTATCTTTATTTTCATTAAGTTTTAATTAAAATTAATACTAGCATTTTATTTGATAGTGAGAATAGGTACAAAGTATGGTGGCATTAACAGTACTTATGATTTTGACATAGATTGTCACCAATAGAAGTTACAGATATTTGTATATGATATTATCATTGTTGCAGATACCTCAAAATATTGATCCTACTTATTACTTGAAAATTAGTGTAGATATTATATTTAGTGTGTTGGTAAGCACAAATATTACTATATGAAAAGTCATTTTAATATTTTGATAACTTTTCATATAAAACCAGGTTTCTTTTTACTTTTATAATTTTTGCTTTGTGCAAGTTCCATAGCAAGCATGCAAGGTTCTCTATAGTCCATTTCTCACCCCTATCTATTTCTCCAGACTCATATCTTAATAATTCCCACATAAACTTTGCAAGTCAATAATATTGGGCTGAATGTTACTCCGCACATACACACTACTATGCTACCTCACCCTATGCTTCTTCTTCTATTGGAATTCCCTTCATACTCATCAGACCCTGTTTATTCACCTAGAAAACTCTTTACTCATCCTTCAACATCTTCCCTAAGTAAGACTGTGTCCCTGATGTATGTTTCTATGGGACTTTGCATCTGCCTATGTCACCAAATTTACTACCTTCTATTAAAATTACTATTGTACATCGATGTCCTCCATTAGACTGTGAGCTGAGTCCAGGCAAGACTATATAAAGAGTTATTTCTAGCTCCATCACCCAGATCCAGCACACTAGTGGTCCAGAATTGAGTCTGAGGACATTAAACACTAGGAGACAGGATCAAGCATCACCTGTTTCAGTTTTGTCTCCTCAGTCCCAATTTTTCTTCCAGATATTGATTAAGTATATTAAAGACAACTTTCACCATGGAGGAAGGAGAAGCTACTCTGTGAAAGAATGGCATTCATATTTCTATGTAGCATAGTTTACAGGAGAAACCTTTCTCTTCCTTATTCTTTCCCTGTCTTCAAATCTTCCCAGTCTTCCACAAAAATCAGACAGTAAGAATAGACTTTATTCTTTCCTAAAGTTTGTTTCTGAAATAAATTCAGGGAGGTGGGAAAACAGTTTCTTCTTCCCTCTGCACTTAGAAAGAAGAATTGTTAGTCTCCCAGAAACAGCAGGAGAAGAAAAATATTCATGTTTGCCTTGGGAAATAAGATTCCTTTGTTTTCCATGATATATATCTTCTAAATAGGAAGATAGAGCTCTTAAGAATTATCAAATGATAGATTAGAAAAATTCTAAATACTCTGCTACTCATGCTAGACAGCCAAAAAACTATTAGCATAAAAAGTCCAATGATGGGATATGTGGCAATATTTAAGTGTTATTTGGGGGATAATATTTAAATGAATTGTTTTTAAGAATATTCTAAAGTTAGCAAGGCTATTCATCCATTTTGGAAAACGTGTTATTCTGTCAGATTAGATGTCCTAAAATTGCAAATAAGGAGAAAAAATTCAGACTAGCTATATAGATAAATATACAAAGAAGTAGTGCAATATAAAAAGAAGTAGTAATTCATTACCAATCTCAAAGCTCCCATTAATAAATCCGACTAGAGATGTAGGGATGTTGAATTGTCTCTCTATTTGTGTGAGCATGGAATTCATATAAGATCCAGAGAGTGTTTTGGATACAAATGCACATGTTATTGCCAACAGAAACATCTAGGGAGAAAGGAATATGAGAAAACACAGAAAAAAATTATTTTTTACCATATATTTGCCACCTGTTGACAAAATATCTTCTACCACAAGACTGATTGTCTCCAATGCCAGTAACCCTTGAATTTGAAGAAACTTTTTTGGTTTTTTTTTTTTTTTGTTTTTTTGAATTTGAAGAAACTTTTAATGTGGTCTGTTCTTCTGGTCTGTCATGTCATGTTAGCTCTTTGAAAACTCAAAGTGGGATTGATTAGTAATATTGAATTTTGTAGGTTAGAGTCTCATTATTTTATAGGCACATCCTGTACATACACAGAAATAGTCATTCTAACTAAGATATAGCTAATAGTTTAAATAGCTCCTCAGCACTATAATGCTCTCTGTAGTATAAAGAATACATATATGATAATAAAAAAAGAACAAAGCATCACACAGATGTTATTTCTATAGCAAATTCACTCAAGGTCTCTCCAAAGTAATAAAATTAGGTAACGTTAGATTGCTGCTCACTCTGTTTATTTATTTAAAGCAGTGTTATATATTTATTTATATTATAATATAGTATAGTAATTTTAAACCATTATAAATGTTTCTAAACTGAACAAGTAGTTACTATAAGAAAAAAATATGAATATAATAAATTTCTGTGTATTGAATCACATTTCTTGTATACTGATAACAGTTTCAGAGGATAGTCAGGTTAATGTGATCCATAACAAAAATCAAGGGCAGCTTAAGAAATAGAACCATTGTGATCACCAACAGCTAGTATGGTTTCACTAAAAAAATTGGAAAAATCAAAATTTTGATAGGTTTATTAAGTTAGAAAGAAACAGACTTAGATTTCAGTAAAGGATTTGGCAAAGGAGTGTTGTATACTGGGTAATAGTATAGTCAGGCAGATTATACACTGCTTCAAAACCAACAAAATCTTTCCCATTAGATTGGATAGATTTAGGTCATCCTGAATGGTGACTTCCAGCCCTATGCCATAGGGCTTTTTCCTTTGTCCCACTTAAAGATGCTTCCTTATGCACTTCCATCCTGGGAGGCTATTAAGTCTATTCTAGCCAGCATACCCAAATCCCTAAAATCCTTACCCCACTTCCTTCCACATTCCCAATTTTGAACCAACCCCACAATTTATATTGCACCTTATATATTCCCTTCAAAATTATTCACAGTCTTTTCTATTTCTCAGTCTTCAAACCAGTCAGGTGCTTTTCATGACCAGCAAATGATCTCAGGAATGTCACCCTCAAACTTCCCTCCATCTCTGCCTCTCTAATTTCCCTCCTGCCTTTGAAAGATAGGTGTCCCTTCTCCAGTACAATAAAATCCCTCCACCCATACTTTGAATCCATTCTTCCCATTTGAAATTTTGATTTATCAGTTAGTATTCTCTCTTCTATTTTCAACCTCATACTCTTTCCTGCCTCTCTTTCCACTAATTTATATATATTTTCAAGATATTTATGTCATATCTATTTATATAAATATATATTCAGATATACATATATCTATATGAATATGTATATATTTATATACATGACAGAAATATCTTATAGATATATAAGATATCTTATATCTATAGATATCATAGATATATATCTAGATATATAGTTTGTTTCTTTGTATGTGTATATGATGTATATCAATCTATATCTATATCTATATCCTCTATATCTATATCTATATCATCGAGAGAGTTTGTTTCTTTGTTTTTTCCTCCCAACCCCTGATAGTTGCTACTCCAGCTACCATCAGGCTGTTTATAAGAACAGTCTTGGTTTATTGCCTAGACTTTTTAACCTTCCATTCACCTCTTA